AACCGTCCACTGTCTCATCCCCTCGTTCAAGTCCATCCAGCATTACACAGGACGTATAGAAGTAGAAAGGAAGATTCGTTCAGGTCAACTGACATGAGCAGGGGGTGGAAGGAGATAGCGGCCTTGGTTATTTCAAGAGCGTCGCGAGGTGTGCTTCATTTCTTGTCCGAGGGCCCCCCCGTTCAATCTATCTTCTATCACTTGCGCACATCCGCAAGCAACCCCATACCTGCATATGCTAACTTATATTCACTCTTTCCCTCCGGCGAACACATTCGTCTCGGCGAGAAACATATCCAGCGGGCACCATTGTTCCGGCGTCTGACATCCGATCCACTGCTTTCTCATTCTCCACGTCGAACCTATGCACCATACCAATATACCGCGATTCTGTCACTGGGTTCGTGCTCTCCACTCGAAATGCCTACTTCACAGTAATGGAGAGGCAAATATGGGCGGCGGTACTATCGAAAAGTTCATAAGAAAGAAAGGAAGTGTGGATAGAGACACTAGGGCCGTATTTAAACCAAGGAAGGGTGAGCAGTGAGAATAACTGTATCCAGTATACAGCACTAATAGAGAAAGTCAAAAAAATAGCCGGACGAAGCATCATTGCGACCTCAGACTTAGCTAACAAGGAAGATCCTCAAGTGATGGTGAAACGTGATTGCATTGAGCCGAACCGGGTCGCTACCTTCGAACCAGTCGAAAGCTTCACGGTCGACCCATCAAGTTCCAGAACTGGTGGTTTACCAAACAAATTATGGATTTCAGGAAGTGCGGTACTGGTTCTGAACGGTGCTATCTGGGTGGGTCGAGCACGGCTAATCTGCAATATTTCGCTAGCCCATAATGTTATCAGATAGGGATTGACTGGCGTTCGGTTTGATGGGCATAGATTTTCGTCGAGGTTGACTGTAAATAAATACATGAAATAATCTCAGATAAATCATGATGCGCATTTTGTATTCTGGTTACCGCTACAAAAGTCGTAGGTTGACCCGCCACCTTCAACACTCTTACCCAACCACCACTGGCCCAAATGTCCTCACTGTTCAAACCAGCCAAACAAAAGAAGACGCCAAATTCATCTCCTTCGGGTCCATCACAACCTTCTGGTATCTCTGAGGATTCGAGCACTAACTCGAAGTACCAGACAGCCTGCGATAATCTGATCGGCGCCACCAAAGTGGTCAAAGCGATAACCGAGGCGGCTTCATTCCTCGGACCATTGAAGTCCACATGTGAAGTTGTGATTCTATTTCTGGAAAAGACCAAGGTGTGTGTTCTATCAGCGTTGTACACGACAGAGGTAACTGGCTGATCAACCCGTCAGGCAGTCAACGAGAATATGGAAGGTCTCAAGACTTTGGCTAACATGCTCAGGTCTCATATCGACGCACTCGAGCGTTCGTGGCTCGTCCTACAAGAAAAACAGGACGAGCCACTGTCGACTGGACAGCAAGATTTCATCCAGGCCCTGAACGGCTACATCAAGTAAGCTCTCACATCTTATAGCATGCGTAATATGGCTGAAATATGAAGCAAGATGCCTCAAGAACATTCTAGACAAGGTAGATCGGATGATACAAGAGAGGGAGAAGGGTGCCAAAGGGCTCTTCAAGAAAAAGGGCTCTTCTCGCATCGAACCTGGGGTACTGGCAGCATATCGAGAGGAGATTATGCAATACTCGAAAGCATTCGATGTAAGTCCCGGTCTTGATCGCTGAGAAATATAGTACGACGACGACGATTCATTATAGGAGGCGACAGTAGTATGTCAAATGAATATACAAGCAGAAGGTAAGCATGTAATATTGTCATTATTGTCGATACTGATGCCATATAGCGCTCAAGGCTGCACGACTCGGTCCGGAGAAACCAAGACCAATGGGAACACAGCATGAGCCTTGCTTAAAAGGAACGCGAGAACCGATTCTTCAAGAGATTCGCGAATGGAGGGACGCGAAAACAATCGATACACGGATTTTCTGGTTATGTGATATAGGTGGATCAGGGAAATCTACTGTAGCGTACACAATGTCCCAAGAATGGCACAAGTCAGCGGACATTCTGGTTGGGCGATTCTTCTTTTCGAAGAATGCGAGGGATACAGCTGATACAGATATATTCTGCTCGACACTCTCAAGAGATATAGCATCAAAGCATCTGGAAATTGGCTCTACAATCACGGATATCCTTAAAATCGATTCTCTTCTGACAGAAAGAGACTTTAACGAACAGTTCTGTAAACTCATCGTAGAGCCCTTGCGCTCAACTTTACAGGATATTGTGTTCGTGATCGATGCGGTGGATGAGTGCAAGCTCGAGTCTCGAAAGAAAATGCTACGAGTATTGTTACAAGCACTTGGTTCTCTTCCAACTCTCAAGGTTCTTCTCACCAGCCGTCCTGAGTCAGATATCATGAACCTACTTCGTGATAAATCGATCATTCGCGGGATGCATTTCGAGATGCAAGGCTCCAGCAACCAATCTAATATAGCCGATATCACCTCATATGTTGACCATCACCTATCCGATCTCCTGCCCCTCAAGTACAGACAACAGTTAGTGGCGCAATCGAATGGACTGTTCATCTGGGTATCAACGGCAAGATTTGAGTTGGAATTGGCAGCAGATAACCCGACAGATTTCAATTTAACCTTCACATCCCTCCTAACTAGAGGAACTGGAGGTGATGTCGACACTCTATACCTCGGAATACTCAATAGGGTACTCAGAGGTCAATCAAAAGACCTGATAAGCTGCGTTCTTGCAACCCTGGCCATTCTATATGAGCCGGTCTCCATCAATAGTCTAGGGCACTTAATCAATGCCAGTGACGAAGAACTCGAACTAGTGGTAAGGTCAATGAGAAGCGTATTTCGTGTGGGGAATACCATCGAGTTTCTCCACCCTACGTTTCGAGAATATCTATGTAACATCCAAGGGAAAGGAACGATTCCTAGTGCCTTTGCATGTCATACAGATCTCGCCCTTAACATTCTTGGAATACTACAGCGGGATTTGAAGCAGGATATCTGCGATATAGATGTTCCAGGAGACCCTTTCCCGGACAATAAGGCGGTTATAGATCTGGATGACCGATTATCAGCCCTATGGCAGTCTTCACCAAGCCTATTCTACGGCTCGCAATACTGGGTTTTACACGTTTGTCAAGCGATACAGAATGCTACTGTGGTTCGGGACGTGGAGCTCCTTTTAGAGACAAAAGTGCTCAATCTGGTGGAAATATTGAGCCTGACTAGCCATTTGCCTCGGTTTCAGGACCTCTTGGGACTCCAAAGAAATCTCGAAGAGTATTGGCCCCATAACAAAGCAATTGAGGCAAGAAACTTTCATAACAATATCAGGATCATTGAATACTTATATCTGATATGCAGTTTTGCGACGATATTCTAAGAGCAGTTCAAAGGCATCAATTGGTACTTGAGACGAGTGCACTACACGTATATTCATCGTGTTTACTGTTTCTTCCTAGAGACACCAGACTGAGCCGAATATACCGAAAATCATTTGAGGCAGATCTACCGGATATACCATGCGGATTAGAGGCTCATTGGCCCCAAAACCGAACTTTAGCTGGACACAGCAGCTATGTTAGATTCATTTCTTTATCGGTAAATGGCACTCGAGTCATATCCGGATCTGATGACGGTACAGTTCTAATGTGGGATACGGCCACTGGTGCAAGGCTTGGGGCTCTCTCGAATATCCAGGGGCGAATTATTCATCTGGCCTATTCATTAGATGATTCTCATGTCATCATCGGTACTAAATCGGGTTATGTAACAAGATGGGATGGGTCCACAAGTGAAATGGCTAGTATCGAGTTACAATGTAACACTGGAATCATTGGAGAGATCAAGTGCCTATTCTTTTCACCTAATGAAGCTCGAGTAATATATCATAGCTATAACAAGGGACCAGGGTTATGTGACGCGACGACTGGTGAACTAATTAGGATGTTACTCGAGGAAGAACCTAATGAAGATGCATTTTTAGCCTCTTCTCTTGATAGTAATCGGGTCATTTGCTCATT